TGATCTGTCTACACCGTTTATCCTGATGATCCTGTGGAATTTGGTGAAACAGTGGGCAGTGATTTCCCTTGGGTGTTAGAATATCATATTAACAGATTTCAGGTATTTAAATGGCAGGTTTTGTCATACTGCTTTCTCTGCATTAAAAAGTAGGCGGTGGCACTCAGTTGCTAGAGAACTGGGTGGGTGACCCATCACTGCCCTCAGTCTTCCTGCTTCGTGGCTTGAGACCGCTCACTGTCTGCCCCTTTGTCTGCCAGGTAAACAGATTCAGGTGTTGTCGGGCCATCTGCAGTGGGTTTACTGCTGCTCCATCTCCCCGGACTGCAGCATGCTTTGCTCTGCAGCTGGAGAGAAGTCGGTAAGTCTCACACATCAGGTGTTATTTCCTCTGTTGTGTTGGTTCGGCAAGCCCTGGAGGTGTTGTAGCCGCCTTGTGTGTGAGAGGGTAAGTAAGCCAAGCATCTCAAACCCTGCCTCCTGCATCCCTCCCTTTTGATTTGCACTTCGACATGAGCCAAAAGAGGAGGTTAAGTTTACGTAGATCGCTACCTTCATTGGAGGCCTGTTTGTCTTGACAAATGGGAAAGGGGTGCTTTTTAAATTTCTTTTCCCCGTAGAGAGTCTACGATTTCAAAAGTTGCAACCCATGTATGGATCCAGATTTCCTTTGAACCATCTAGTTTATAGCTACCTAATTAGGCTTTTCATTTCAGATCATAAAATGTACAGCTACTTATTGAACTTTGCCCTGACATCCTGTCTGTTATTTTTAAAGAAGTATTAGAAACCCAAGAATACTTTGGGAACAGTTTTGCATGGAGCTGTGTGCTGTGGCTGACTTGGGAAAGTTAAGAATGCACTGTTTGGTGCAGCCCAGGTGGTTAATCATTCATTGGAGGTTTGGAACTATGTGAAAGTGAGAGTTTTCTTAAAGGAAAGAAAATAAAAGCCTATTTGTAAGACTCTCAGGAATGTTGAAGGTGATGAGCTGTGTCCGAGGTGCAGGGTGGGGCAGAGTTCCATGGCTCTGAAGCACACGGGTGTAAAATGGCACGGCAGATTCGGGTGCTGGTAGCCCCGGAGTTCACTCTGACCCCTTTTTTGGTATTAAATGAAGGGACAAGCTAGCATGTGGCTTAGGTCTTCATCCACACATACTGCGTGTTGGCAAACAGCGCTCAGAAGCAGAACTCGGAAGCTTCTACTGACCCATGTTAGCTGGCAGTCTTCTTGAGGTTGGCCCCGTTTGCTCCTCCTTGAGCATGTCCATTGGTTAGGCACCGAGAGAATGCGGAACTGTACTTTATTTAAGCCTATGATACACTTTGGAAGAGCTGTAGAAAAAAGGGTGGGATGTGGCTTCCTCTGGCCGTGGGGCCTGAAGTGGGCACTGCTCACATTCTAAATAGTATGTGTCCGCCCCTAACCAGGCCCCTGTCGCTTTCCACAGGTCTTCCTCTGGAGCATGCGGTCCTACACGTTAATCCGGAAGCTAGAGGGCCACCAGAGCAGTGTTGTCTCTTGTGACTTCTCCCCTGACTCTGCCTTGCTTGTCACGGCTTCTTACGACACCAACGTGATCATGTGGGACCCTTACACTGGCGAGAGGCTGAGGTCACTCCAGTAAGGACCCGCATCCCTGCTTACGGCTTCCTTGTGGGGTGACTGATGAGAAACCTGTGTTGGATGAGACATGTCCCTTTTAGAGTCGGGGCATGGGAGGGGCACCCTGGGTTCAGTGCTTATTCTGAGGCTGGTGTACAGTAGTGCTTTCTTGTCAATTAAGTTCTCAAATTAGACCCAAGTGCCTTCAACCTTCCTGCTAAGTGAGACTTTACTTCTTTGGATTCAGCATTAAGAAACCTCAAAGTGACTCTTTTTTTCCATTTACTAATAACTGTAGTAACAAGTTCAGAACGATCCTTTTATCGAAACTGCTATTTCCATAATGAATTTTCATGTTTGCACAAATTTGGTCTATTTTTCTCCTTTATCTCTTGTTTTATGAAGCGAATAATAGGTAGTCCTATAATTATCATGTATCTGAGCCTAAAAAAGACTCAGTTTGTACCGTGGCGTTCAAGTGAGGGCTGACCTACTTTGCATAAGGAAACTAGCACAGGGAGTGTTAGCAACCTTCGGCCCCTCTGTAAGACACTGGGAGCCTTAGTAAATGCACTTTTCTCCAGTCTTCTTTTCTAGTCCGCAAGTCCCAAGGTTTTCCATATGGGGTACAAGATGCGTCCTGAGCCTTTTCATAGCCAGGTAGTTTGGCCTCCTGCCTGGGGGTGAAGGTGAAGGGTGAGGGGTGGCCATCACTCCTTACTGTCCTGTTTCTTTCTCCTCAGCCACGCCCAGCTCGAACCCCCCATGGATGACAGCGATGTCCACATTAGCTCCCTGAGATCTGTGTGCTTCTCTCCAGAAGGCTTGTACCTCGCCACTGTGGCGGATGACAGGTAACAAGAGGCTCTCTGTATGTGGCCACGGAGCAGGTGCTCGCACGTCACTGTGGCGTCTGGCCCCAGGTTTGCTAATGTGCAAACATGCTTTTCCTTCTCATCCAGACTCCTCAGGATCTGGGCTCTGGAACTGAAAACTCCAATTGCATTTGCTCCCATGACCAATGGTCTTTGCTGCACATTTTTCCCACACGGTGGAGTTATTGCCACAGGGTAAGTATCTGAGCTGAACAGATGGGCAGCCATTTCTGCTGCGTGTGCCATGGAGCTTTTTAAGGAAAGAAAGCATTTAGTTTTCCTGCCTGCAAGGAAGGCTTTAAGGAAATGCAAGATTACATAAAGCTCTAATATCCTATTCTGCCACTATAGGTTGTCACTTATTCTTAATATTTAATCCAAGTGTAATTGAAGAGTTACAATTCATGACAGCTCATGGAGCGAGCCCACGAGGACGCATCCATTAAGATGATGCAGAGCTTCTACGGAAACCCTTCCTGCAGAGACCACCTTTCAGGGGCCATCTATAACTCAGGAGGTGGCGTCCTTCCTCCTGTGGCCTCAGTGTGATTTAGAAAGGGCTGTGCTGGCAGAGAGCACTTGGTGTCAGAGGTGTCTGGAGTCTTACGATCCTCTTAGCAGCCTTAATTATTCAGCACCACAGCTTTTACATCCATTTCAGCAGCCAGGGTTACATTTCACTCTCCCGAGTCTCCTGCTAGTGCAAGTCGGAGTAGAGACATCAGTGTCCGTCACAATGGAAACAGTATTTCCAAGGTCTGTCTTAATGCATTGGTTTCCGTTTTGTTTCAGGACAAGGGATGGTCACGTCCAGTTCTGGACAGCTCCCCGGGTCCTGTCATCACTGAAGCACTTATGCCGGAAAGCCCTCCGAAGTTTCCTCACCACCTACCAAGTGCTGGCACTGCCAATCCCCAAGAAAATGAAAGAGTTCCTCACGTACAGGACTTTGTAAGCAGCGCTACACGATCTCGTGTGTTTTCTCTGTAGCAGATACAGCTCCCTGGCGAAGGAGTCGCTGGGATAATGGGCCAAACAGCTGGTCTTGGATGGACATAGTTTCTCTTTGGAATTGGGCACAGAATGTAGCAAAACCAGATTCCAGTGGACTCGTCATGGATCTTCTCCCCTCGACACGTCAGTCATAGAGGAGGGGACTCCACCTCCGTGGCCACAGCGCCTTATCTTCAATCTTCAGTCCACTTAGAAGCAAGTTTTGAATTCTAGTAGTTTTGGTTCAAAGTGCAGATAATGAGATTTTGGTAAGAAGAGTTACAGGCCTCGCGAGCCTCTGTAGCGCCGAGGGGTTTCAGCCCCCTCTGCTGGGAAGTGTGGCTCCTGCCTGGTCCCGGCCGTTTCAGATGCGGCAGCAGCGGCCTTGTTTCAGCTTCTCTCCTGTCAGAGTTGGTGTTGGCAAGTCTCTCCTTCCTTTAGCTTCTTTGAGCAGCGGGACAGTTTTCACGGAGCAGGCTCTGGTATTAGCTAAATTACAGGTGACGCAGGCTGTGCTCCTGACTAATACACTATAATTGGCTTTTTCTTTTTTTAAACAATGGTGTGCATGTGCAGATGACAAACTTATATGCCAGGTTACACAAGGATTTACTCCTAAACTGCATGACTGTTCAGATGGCTGAGTTGTTGGTTGTTTGCCTCTCATTAGCATATTTATTTGTATTTTCTCAACAGATGTTAAGGTACAACTGTGTTTTTCTTGATATCTAAAAAACATAGTACTTAAGTTGAACAGTTGTGAAGATGTCTCCTTAATTGTGTAAAGCATTGTGTTGTCATCACTTCAGCTGATACTCTCATGTACGAGGTCTGACTGCTGCTTCTCCTCATTGGACGTGTGAGCCAGTTTCAGCTCTACCCTACACAAATATAGGTCCTTAAAAGTCCTCTTCTCCTCCAGTGATGTGGTTATCTAATCAAGACACCTCATTCAAACATAACCTGCCTTTGGGAAATTTAATATATTTTAAATAATTTTAAAAGAAATGCAACATCTTATCTGGCTTTCTTACTAGGTGCTTTATGGAGGCCAGTGTAATATAAAACGTGTTGAAAAAGGAGAGAAATCTCTCCTCTACTGCCTTTGTCCTGAAGAAAACATTTCTTTTCAAGATGAGAGACTCATGGAAGGAAAAAGTTAAAAGCTTTTGGCTTTCCGTTTCATTCCTTCCATTAGGGGAAAAAAAGCACCTGTAAAACAAGTGAGTACAGCCGGACAGCTGGGAATGGAGTGGGCAGGTTTTTAATTGTGAGGTTATCTTGCAAAGTCGCGAACAGTGCAGTCTGGGAGCTCAGGCTCCTCGAGGCCCCCTTAGCCATTAGCTTCCAACGCTGCTGGCGTCCTTGGGGAGCGAGCCCCGTGTTGAGTGATGGAAAACCGTCTCTCCCTTGTGAAGAACAGCCCAGAGTTGCTTCTGTGATATGAGAGGTGAAAGTTTCACAGAGGCAGGTTGAATAAATCAGTGTCTTTATAACTAAGGAAGAGCCACTTGCAACACAAGCAACAAGGAAGCTGCTTTATTTTCATTCTGAAGAGCGGTATCAATGCAGCGTGGACCACTGCAGCGAGCTGCCACATCTGCACCAAGCCCATCCTTCCCAGTGGCAGGCGTGGAGTCAGGCTCAATCCCGTGCCCCTCCCCTCTTGCCACCCCCTGCAGTAAGTACGTGTTATACAACTTCTGGCCCCTAATGGCATAAAAATGAAAGTTTTCTCTACCGTCCACCCACAATTAGGAACCTGCTAGTAAGTCCTCTACTTCAAGAGGAGAAATAAAAAGACCAGTTTTGAAAGGAAGAGAATTGAGTCCATTTTATGAGTATAATAGTTTGGGCCAGAAATCTGTTCACATCTACCCTCAAAGTAGACACAGGGTCACAGACTATATGTGACTTTGGAGATGTTCTGTTTATCCTGAATTGGAAGACACATGGGCCATATTAGGTTTGAAAGCCTTATAGTCCAAAAGGGTAAAAGCCTTACGGTTGAAATAAAGGTGTTTGCCTTTTCTACCTATAAAACACAAGTGGGCAGTGCAGTAAGACAGTTGTTCACTAAAATTGTTCTGTCTACTCTGCTCCAAACAGCCACAAACAAGGTATTTTATATGTCTGCCCACCCATGCCTAGAACAAGAATTTTCCAAGACTGGGTGACTGTGGCTTCACCCCCTCACGCGGGCAGCAGTTCGTCCTGTAACCAGATCCCCTGTTCTCTAGTCACTGCTGGGCCTGCGGCTGCAGCAAATGGTCCTCAGCGTCTAGGCCTCCGAGACAATCAGGTCTCTGGTGACTTGAAAAGCTGCAATGAGGGAACTCAGCTGAATCTTCTCGCTGGTTCCCACAGACAGTCTGTACCTAAATGAGATCAAAAGGTCAGAGCAGAGAATACCACACACAGCAACCCTTCGACAAGAAAAGAAAGATCAAAGACAACATCTGAAGGAGGCGAGGAGGTCATGAAAACTGATCCTGGATGTCACCTTGTATGTGTCCTCTAACATTTTCTTCTGTCCTAAACACTCATATTTTCTCACCAATTTGAAGGAAAAATTAAGTCTAAAAAATTGTCAGCAGTGTTCTGAACTTAACTTTGTTCTAGCTCTATAAAGAGATGCAGTTTGTGATTAAGGATTATTTCTTCACCTACAAATGGCACTGGGGAGTTGTAATGAAGATTTCCTTCCTCTGACTTCACTGGGAAGTGTGGCTGATACGCCTGTGGTTCTGTGGTGTAGTCGGTAAGCAGGATGCTGCCATTTCATCTTGCCACCTTTTTTTTTATATATTTTTAAAAATACATTTTTTTATTGATTTCAGAGAAGAAGGGAGAGAGCTAGAGAGATGGAAACATCAATGATGAGAATCATTGATTGGCTGCCTCCTGGAGGGCGGGGGGGATGGAGCCTGCAATCCAGGCATGTGCCCTTGGCCAGAAATGAACCTGGGACCCTTTAGTCCACAGGCCAACGCTCTATCCACTGAGCCAAACCAGCTAGGGCTCATCTTGTCACCTTTTAAGCGGTTAAGCCATTGAAAGCAAGATCATATTCACAAGTAGTGATAAGTCACCTAATTTGTGCATCCGCAAGCCAATGAGGGCAGATTAGAGTTGGCCTACGCTAACAGTCTGATTTTGAAACCAATGCTTTTGTCTATTTAAATGACAGCAGCAGCTTCCCTGGGGGCTAATAACTGCTCACTGAACCAGGCAAAGTGGAAAATCGAGTTTGTTTACTCCCCCCAGTAGGCAGTGTATGCAGAAGGCCTTCACAGCTGGAGGTCTGCACTGGAGCATTAAGAGAGCCAATGCAGACCAAGCCTTCGAGGTCTTTACCTCAAATATGTACCTGAGTCAGACCTGTCCTTGTGTTTATTCATGTTCTTAGAATAAGCACCTCACAGCCTTCCCCATCGTTCATTCAATAATCCCACCAAAAACTGGATCAGACTTGTACAGGAAGGATTTAGACAAAAAATTTGGAGCCAAGCAAATAGAAACAAACCACCACAGGGGAAAAAGAAGGAAAAGAATTAAAATTGGGAAGTGAATACTCACTCAATTTCTGCCATTTTGGTTAATAAGTGTATTCGAACTGAAGATGGGAAGTCAACTGGGGGGAAAGCACAATCAAATGAATGAGCCTGTCATTCCTTAGAAGACAAGTGTTTGTTTAAAGATCAGATGGTTAACACTTTTCTTGTGGCCTCAGATCACTAGATACACCCTCTAAGGAAGCAGCAGTTAGGTTTTCATCCCTCCATCTGTGTCTTCACCGTTAGCCCCTCCCCCGCCCCGCCCATTAGATTCCAGAGTGACCAGAAGGACATGGAAGAGTCTCCAAGTTGCTCTTTTAGCAACTGGGCTGCTTTGTAAGTTAACGTAAAAGCTGGTCTCACTTCCTCTCCCAATTTTAAAAACAAACTATTGATTTTTTTAAAGTCAATTTATGCTCAGTTTTCACAAAGCACAAAGCTGGGCTTGAGCCAACCATGTTCTTGGGCAGAAGTTAACATGCCAGCCAGCCAGAAAGAGGCTCGTAAAGGTGCCGGTAGAAGCAACATTTATGGACATTCACGGACCCGACCACCTGTGCAGTTGGCTGCTGTGGAGGAAAGAGCTGATCCAAAAGGCTGCACAACCGATCACCTGGTTCCCCTGCAAAGGCCAACGGATTGGCCTGGGGTGATTCCTATGTGGAGAACCCAGGTTGGGAACCAAGTCTCTGTATAGAAGATACAACCTAATGTGGAACTTAAGATGGTTTAGTTAAGACTGTTCTGGTTTACATGAAAACAGATCTTCCTTCTCCCTCTCCTTTTGGGGAAAATGTTTAGAAATGTGAATTACAACATACTACTACTGCTGCAAAACAGCACTCTCCCCAGCAGCTCTAGGGGTTCAGAGTGTTTTCGGAATGAAGTTTTAAGTAACGACAAAACTAAAAATGAGGGGTTTGGTTTATAATTCTTCATTCCTGTATCTTTGCTTCAAAAATGAAGCCTCGTGTTCCCTCTCTAATCACCCTTAACCATAAAGCACGCCCCCTTCTGACGGCGTCTACACTGGAGAATGATGTGTTACCTCTATGCACAAACAGGTGGATCTCCGTCAGGATGTCATGCAATGCCAACCCCTTCAGCGTCTTCAGCTCCATGATATCTAGAGAGGAGCAGTTAAGGCAACGGGGGAAAGTTCCAGAACAAATGTGCTGCGGGTAATTTTGAATCCAAACCCTCGTGAGTGACTTTAGAAAGCAGAGCTTCTAATCTCGGTAGTTGTTGGTTTCGATGGGAAACTGCACATGAACCCCAATCCTTTTCTGATTTCCCTCTTCACTAAGGGCTTTCTGAAGGATGCAGTGGTGGCAGCTGTCTATAGAGAACAGAACCAAATGCACTCCCAGGTGGCTTCATATCACGACAGCCAGCTTTTACTTTGACAGCGAGACAAGATTAACTGGCTCCTTGGAAATGACTGCAGCGCCCACCACGGTCCAGCCGCATCTCTCCATCTGGGGGTCGGGTGGCTTCCGGGTACCCAGGTCAGAGTCCTTCAGGAAGAACTCGGGGCATCAGACACGTATCCACTCCACCCACAGCCATCTTACTCCTACATCTTACAAGCTGAGCAGAGTCTCACACGGCTAACTTTCTTGCCAGAGCGGGGAGGTGCTGGCTGTAGCTCTGGGGTCAAGTTCAGGCCTTGGGAACGGAAAGTGCTATTGGCAGGACATGAGAAAGGATACTTCTGTAGGCCGTGGTGAAGTCTTGATTCAACATCCAGTCCAGGATGTTGGCGATGTCTGACTTGAGTGGGTGCCCTGTGCAGGTGTAGACCGTCTCCTCAGTCACCTTGCCAAAGGCCATGCTGGTGCTCTGCGCAGACAGGGGGAGAGTCACGGCGGCTGTGACAGCCACTGCCAAGGTGCAGGCAGGTCGGGCGGAAACTGCTGAGGCAGCAATAGCACCGGGCACAGGAGAGCTGGGATCTGCATTCACTTACACTGGAAAAGGTGGCCTCACGGCGGAGGCTGCTGCTGTTACGGCTGCAGCATCCTTCCCTATCTCCCCCGTGTTTGCAACAAATTACTCTTTCAATTAATCAAAACACAAAGGGTGGGGAGATCGCGACACGTTAGGGGGTCAAGGTCTTCCCAGTTCTAGATTTCTGCATTCACAGTGGCTGTACTATTGCTGATGTATTTCTTGAAAAACTATTCTGAAGCCACAACTTGAGATTTGCTACGAGTAGCACTGTACCTGCAAAATGTTCAGAGCCCGTCGCATATCTCCACTGGAAAGAGTTATAAGCGCTTTCATTCCATCTTCACTTACATCAACTCTGAAAGGAAACAGGCAGGAGATGAGAGGCCCTGAGAGCCCAGGCATTCCCCCAGGGAACAAGATGGCCTGAAATGATTTAAGATTTGGAAACAATGAAAGAAAAAAAGGGGAGGACGGAGTTAACCGCTCTTCCGATCTACAGGATCTAGAATTCACCCTGGTATTCAGGGGCGGCGGCTTCACGTTGGCGGTCACAGCCACTCAAAGACTAGAATGACCCTCAGGTAGGACCAAGCAGCGCTGTGTTGAGCAGCTGGCTCTGAATCGTGCTTCCTGGGAGGAAAGAGCGCTGGAGAGGTGATCAGTCACAGCGCCTTCAAATAAGCAGCAGCGCAGCTTGGTTTCTTGCTCGGCATCTGATTACACGGAATGTATTATCCCAGGACCTTCCCTTCCAGTCAAAAAAGGCGAGAGGCATCTCGGCAGCAGGGACTTGGCAGCGTGCAGTTCCCAATGACAAAAGAAGAGGAGGGAACTGGGACCGCTTCCAGGGAGGGGGATGGAGGCAGAAGAACCAAATGACTTTCCCGCACAATGCCCCGGACATGCCGCTAACGACCCTGCAGCTGGGCGCTCAGCTAAGTCCTTTACAAATACCACTCGCCCCACACTCAGTTCCCGAGAACCCCACCTTTCCTGCTTCCCCATATACTTACTTCTCTTCTTCTATGACATGTTCCAGGCGGGGGACCATGAGTTCAGGGGTCAGGGGGCCGAATCGGAACCTTGTACACCGGGACTGCAAAGCGGGGATGATCTTTGACAGATAGTTACAGATGAGGCAAAATCTGGTATTTTCAGTGAATTTCTCGATCACTGGCAAAGGAAAAGAAAACCCCCTCATGTCCATTCTGATTCTTCAAAGGACCCAGAAATACTGAATGGTCACGTGAACGGTGCAGGGAACAGGAATGTAACAAGAATTCAAGAATACAAACAAATGATGCTACAGGAACAAGAGAGGGTGTCACTAGGGGGGGTCAGGACTGGAAATCACCCCCTCTCTTTCCAAAATCTGACCGACATGTCCCCCCATAGGCCTTATGAAACGCTTCTTTAAGATGCACCAGGATTCCCGTGCCCTTGCCATCCCATCCATAAGACACGAAACCCAGTGCTCCTGCCCTTTGGATTCAATTCTGTTTGGCAGGTTGATGCGCCCCCCTCTACAAGGTGGGGAGGGGGTGGCTTTTTGCAGACTTTCCAGTGGACCTTGTCTCAAAGCCTGAGCATTGATGAGAGAATAACCTGAACTCAGAGATGCTTAGACACCAGCTTCACTGGGTCGGTACCCAATGTTTCTGCACAGGGATCTGCCAGATTGACAGTCACTCTGCAGAACAAGATGCCAGAGAAAGCCTGCCAAAGCTCCAGGACCAGATCTCTGTCTTCCTCCTTCTCCTCAGCCTCTCCTCCCCGCGCCATCCCACCCCCCCACCCCCGGACGCCTAAAGATCAGCCTTTCCTTTGAGCTGATTACCTCTGAATCTTAATGAGATGACCAATGTCCTTTCAAAGAAATGAACTGCCCTGGGCCCCTTCAGACAGACAAACCACAGGATACTCTCCCTTCCCTGCCAAATCATTTCCTTGGCAAGGAGCGAAGTAATGTCGGCTTTCTGAGTGTGACTAAATTTCTGGAATTTTCCTGGCTATTTCATATCTAAGGGTACCAACAACAGAATGTCCATCCAGCAGTTTAGGGATGAAAGACTTTCCATAACCTTCCATCAAATGATACAAAATCCCCAATCTTGAAATTGAAGCCAGCTGAAAAGGAGAATGAGACACCAAGAATCCCAACAGGGCTTGTGTCTTTAAGCTGTGGAAAGGGGAAACCCCTGAAATGGAGATATTTTGCCTAGATCGTCAGGTGGCATACAGGGAGAAAGGTAAACAGAGATTCCTCTGGGCCAGAAAGGAATGAAGGTGGAAATAAGCCACGTTGTATCTCATGTCCAGAGTTCCCAATTCTCTGATGTGCTCCTCAGCCAACACGCTGTACTCAGCAGCTCCTCCTACCTCTCCTCAAGGCATTCTGGGCGTCCTGAGTCATGGCATCCGCCTCATCCAGGATCACCAGCTTAAAGCCTTTCCTAGGAAAACAAACGGCACCACGTAAAGATTTCAATCTCACTTCAGCTTCAGAGCCAGACCTACATCTTCACATGGGCCATCAGGCCCTGTTCAGCCCATTTCTCCCAGAACTCTGGCCAAAGCTGACATCTGTGGTCACAGAGGAAATGCCCCCATCACTCCTTCAACTCTTTTTTTTTAATTGATTTTTTACAGAGAGGAAGGAAGAGGGATAGAGAGTTAGAAACATCGATGAGAGAGAAACATCAATCAGCTGCCTCCTGCACACCCGCTACTGGGGATGTGCCCACAACCAAGGTACATGCCCTTGACTGGAATCGAACCTGGGACCCTTCAGTCCGCAGGCCGACGCTCTATCCACTGAGCCAAACCAGTCAGGGTACCTTCAACTCTTAAAGGGAACTGAGGTCTAACGTTATTACTCTAGTGCTTTTTCTCCCTACCTCCTTCACTCATGCCTGTCTTTTTATCTTTTCTATTTTAGCTACCATCCTAGTTATTCATCCTGATCTCAATTCATTTTTGTCTAAATTCAAACTAGCTCATCCAGGCTTAAAATGGAATCGGTCCTCAGTTAACTAATAAAATGAAGTTAATGCTTCCCCCAAGAACTGGCTAATACAGACTTAGATAACATTTTATTTCAATATTTGCATTTTAACTTTTTTTTTTTTACCACCATCCCTGTACTAGATCTCTTTTTCATGGCTGCTTTTGACAGAGTCATTTCCCCTGGCCGTTATAAACTGGCAAAGGGGAGGCTAAAAAAAATTAAGCTGTATAGTCTCACTGATCAAAATCTCGGGGGAGAGAAATTATGCAAATACTTCTTACTTAAATATTGTCCTTGTGCTAGCAAAGCTCAGGATTGGTCCCCGAACGATGTCTATTCCTCTGTCGTCTGAAGCATTCAGCTAAGTGTGGAAGAGAAAAACCAGAATAAATAAAAAACATGTTGATGGACTATTTACGAATTAATTTACCTTTTCATCATTCTAGCTCAGCAAGCTAGGTCTCCAAGTCTAATGACAGCTAAGAGATAATCACTATTCAAAAAACGAGATCACATTTGTATTTAAACTCCTTGCTCACTAGGTCATTCAGTCTGAAAGGCAAAAGACAGACTTTCCTCTCCCCTTCTGAGGACGATCACTGGCAAACTCTGGAGGAATAACTCAGTGGCCTGGTCTCAGTGACCTCTGACCTGAGCAGAATGAGGCTAATGTTAGCTACCACAACCTAGAGCAACCCAGGAGTTACCAAGTGTCTAACACACTGAGGTAAGAACATGTGTGGCAGCAAGGTTCTAAGATCTCGAACAAAAAAAATAAATGTTTTTCTTGCAATCAACAATATTTAGAATGTTGTAATCTAAGTGTATTAGTCGAGTCCCAGCAGTAAAGAGATGGCATACTCACACGCAGTGCTTTGAAGAGAATTACATGAAGAAATATGTTAAAAGGTATTGGTGGGGTGAGGGGAAACCACAAGGGCTAAGCAGTAGGTCAAGGACTACTGGGGCCCATTACCACCCCCAGGTCTTAAGGGGTTGGTGGGGCAGTGGTGAGGCCACCTGAGAAGGCAGTGCGATATGCCCCGTAGAGGGGGGTGTTGTCAGCCCATGGTGGCTCCCAGGCAGGACTAAGCATCGTTCTCCTCCCCTCCCCCACTCCTGCCAGGGTCCCTATTGGCCAAACCTAACCAGGAGCCAGAGGGTAAGGGAGCTTGTAGTTAGTGCAACTCAGCTTTCCGGACAAGAACCACTGCAGCAACGTGGAGAAGCCGTCTGGAGGGGCACATGGAGGCAGCCAGCATCTGCGTGACCATGGCGTGTTGGGGACAAGCTGGCAACACAAGGAAGGTACCTAGCCCTACAACTGCCTTCTAGCTAATGCCAATCCAGACCAAAATGTCAATTATAGAAAAAAGTGAGTTGACCTATCTTATGTCTGCTTCTTTCCCAACCAGCAGGACAACTTACTTGTGAACTAAAACAAAAGTAGAACTCAAAGAGACTGGAGTCCCTTTATCAAGGAAGAATAACCCCATTTACCTCCAAGACCATGGAGCCAAATTCTTTATCTTTGTACAGCTGTTTAGCACAGGCCAGGATGGTGGATGTCTTTCCTGTCCCCGGAGGCCCATAGAGAAGCAGGTGTGGCAATCGATCTTCACTGATGAATTTCTGAACTGAGGGTTAGGAAGAAAGAGACTCCATCAGTTTCTGAGAGCCTCATTCACTGTGGGCCCTCGGGTTGGGCTGAATGCACGGCAACCCCATGTGTAAATCAGAGGCAGATGCAGGAATAAAAGATCTGAAGGACTCCACGCTTACAGAACCTTCCATAAAGCTCAACGAGACTCTTCAAAGTGATTACTCAGCAGAGACAACACCACCAAGAAAGTGACACAGGTCCTTCAACTAGGATAACATGGATGCTTACTGGTACTCAAAATGTCCTGATGAGAAATGAGATCGCTCAGTGTCTGTGGCCGGTATTTTTCAACCCTGAAATACAATTTAGCATGGATTACACCACACGTAAATGCAAGAACATGTTGTTATGCACAAAAGAATTCTTTCATATCTTAACTAAAAGAGGAAGAGAAACAAAACCCTTTATGTTTGAATACAAGACCCGTGGTTCTCAACCAGGTAACATTTGGCCAGACCTGAAGGCATTTTCAGCTGTCACAGCTGGGTGGAGGTTGCTACTGGCACCTAGTGGGTAGGCCCCAGGAATGTTGCTAAAGATCCTATAATGCCCAGGACAACCCCCATACCTTCCCCCCACACACACACACCGCCCGATCAAGTATCTGGCCCAAAATGTCAGTCATGCTGAGGTTGGTAAACTAATTTCACCTCTCCAGCGGTCTGCCTTTACCCTCAGCGTGGATGGGCACCTATGATTTCAAGGTGAACTCAAAATTGAACTCACACCCAATACACAGAAACAGATAAATGGTGGTGTATCCAAACAAGGGAATATTATTCAGCCATAAAAAGAAATGGTGTTACACACAACAACATGGACGAACCTTGAAAACACGGTAAATGAAAGGAAGACAGTCACAAAGGCCCACATATTGATGGTATTTATATGAAATATCCAGAAAAAGCAAATTCATAGAGAGAGAAAGCAGAGTCATGTTTGTCGGGGGCTAAGAGAGGGAGAAATGAGGAGCGACTGCCAATGGTATGTGGTTCCCATCTGGGGTGATGAATAACTAGATAGTGCGATGGCTGCACCGCATTCTAAATGTCCTCAATGGCACTGAATTGTGCACTTTAGGATGCTTTCAACCATAAATTGTAAGTTACAATTTTTACAACGATATAAACAAACAAGTTATTATTAGACGAGAACAACTTGGAATTTGCTGAAATTAAGCCAAATCCCTGTGGTCTTTAAAACATCATTAGGACGGAGTTGTGAGTACAAGTCTGAATGCAGACCACTTGGGTTCAAATCCAAACCCATTTTCTAGCTCTGGATCTAATGCAAGTCACTGAACCTTTTGGCTGTATTACTCCAACTGTAAAACTGGAGTAAGGAACACCTACCTCCTAGGATCTTAGTAAAGATCCAACAGCTACTCGGGTTCCTGCTGATCTAACAGAAGGCCATTTAAAGAAAAGTGAACTAGAGAGTGTGATTATTATTTTAGCTTAGAATCTGACCAGTAATCGCACCGGGCATGTTGGCACTGTGGCCGATGCAACGTCCAGACGCGGGATCGAATCCCCGTGCTGTCATCCAGGCACAAAAGCCCCGGCAAAGGTCCTAAGAACCGAGGGGACTGGGGGAGCTGGGCGAGGTCGAGACGAACCTCTGAGGCCCGGCCCGGCCGCAGGTCCCGGCCGCAGGGGTGAAGTCCTGCGGGCACCCGGCCCCCCGCCTCTCCGAGAGGCGACCCCCTTCCCCGCGGCAGCCAGGCCTCCTCCTACCAGGGCAGGTTCCTGATCTTGGACGCCGAGGGCTGCGGCTGCGGCTGCTGGAGCGGGTGCGCTGAGGCTTCCATGGCGGGCGATGAAGGCGTCCGGTCCGCTGGAGTCGGCGCGCCCCCGGGGGTCAGCACGGAGCCCAGCCCAGGTCTAATCCCGGGACCCTCGCACTTACAGTTCGCGCGCAAAAGCAGCTCTCGCGAGATTCAGCCGCTGCTTCCGACTTCCTCTCTAGGTCCCGCCCCCTCTCTGTTGCTAAGGCGCCTGTTGCCTAGTTACCGCGAAGCGCGGGTCCTCAACCTCCCTTGCACTGCCCTCTCCGCCTTGCTGGGAACCTCCCTGAGCCCAGTGAGCGGGGCAGCAGGAGAGGCAAGGCCGCCCCTGCAACTGCCAGTCGTCATTGCAAATTAAAGTCTCCCGGGCGACGCCCCGTCCAGGCAGCGCCCAAGTCCGAACGCGTGCCGTCCAAAGGAACAGAAAGCCGCCAGCGCTATGAAATCCGGAGGAAAAACATCCCACATGACACGCCAGCTCTTGACTATAGATGCCATCTGAAAAGAGCCTGGGAAAACCTTTTGGCCCCAAAGCTGTGAGGTGAGTACGACGAAGGGAAAAGCAACTCCAAACAAACACACTTTCACTGTGTCCCAAATCCATGCCCCTCACCCAGCAAAATGCAGAGACCCAACCTCCACAAACAAGTCCAGAGGGAAAACAAAACAAACAAACAAACAAAAAGAACTTCCGGTTATGTTAACATGTGTAACTGGACCGGGCCAGTTAATAGGCGTGGAGGACAGGCTCCCTATGATTTGAAGATAAGAGGGGAATTGCTAACAAAATTTTAGTGATCCTCCTCGCCTCCTCCCCCCCCCCCCCCCCCCCCACCTTACCCCCGTGGTAAGGGGATTATGGACCACTTTTATTTTCTTCTGATTTACTGGGCTGTATTTCCCAGCAATGAGCGTCTTTACATCCTTAATAAAGGTATTTATTTATTTATTTATTTTTTACATGTTGAGGAAGACAATATGGGAGATGAGGCTGGCCTGGGGTCATAGTGTCTGGCTCAGAAGTAGCTGTAGCTGCTCCTTGCATCTTATTACATCACTGTCACTTGCTTTGGGAACAGAGTAGAGGGACAGTGGGCGAATACATGGCTGCAGTTATGGCTTCACCCTTGCGCCTGCCTGGGGCTTCAGAAGAAGGGGTCAGCGGTGGCTTGCGGTAGGACAGTGGCCCTCCGCCCTGCTTGCTGCCAGGCCAGCTCTGATATAGTTGTCCAGGCCATTAGCATGCCACTTCCCCACTTAGCGAAGGTCAGGTTGCTTCCCCCTACCCCCACAATCTCTACCCCCCAGTGATTCTGAGGAGTAAATGCAACAACACTGAGAAAGCATTCAGTGCTTCTCTTTGCTTCTAACACTCTCCACTCCTCCTGTTCTCGTTTTGAATGTTCCCGCTCAAACAAAACCTAAGGTATTGGCTGGTGTGGCTATGCCTGTGAGGGTTCATTTTTTGTGTTATTTTTGAGATGTGTCTCCAGGATGTTTCTGGCAGAGATTGGCATTGGAGCTAGTAGACTAGGTAAAGGAGATCTTCTGAACCAATGTGACTGGGCATCATCTAATCTGTGGAGGGGCTGCCGTGAACAAAAGGCAGAGGCAGGGTGAATTTGCTCTCTTTTTTGAGCTGGGACATCCATCCTCTTCTGCCCTGGGACATCTATGCTCTTGATTCTCAGGCCTTTGGAATCAAACTGTTATACCTCCAGCTTCCCCGGGTCTTCAGCTTACAGATGGCAGAGTGTGGGACTTCTTGGCCTCCATAATCACATGAGCCAATTTCTATAATGTATAAATAACTATCTATAAAAATATTTAAAATATTTCTTATGTAACTAGGTTATTAATATATAATGTTATATAGTAATAATGTATATTTATTGTATAATATAGAATATAGAAACATATTTTTAAATCTGCGTAAATAAACATAAATATAAATTACACGTGGATGTATATATATTTTATTTTTCTATTGGTTCTATTTCTGTGGCGAACCCTGGTCAAATGCCATAGCCTGGGCCCATTCAGGCACCATGGTGAGAGCCATCTTGCTAAGGGGCCTTTGCATTAGAAACATGATGCCGCCACTTCCTTGAACTGGAAGATGCGAACAAGACTGGATCAAGTTCTCATGAAACTCTGTGTGCACCTGCTGTCCAGTACGCTGGGAGCACAGTATTCTTCTGGGTGACATATGTATTTGCAAGGTTATTGTGTGCCTCCACATGGATTGCAAGCTCATTGGGAAGCTAGGCTTTGAGCTTATTCACCCCTGTACTCCTGGTGCCAGGAACAGTGCCTGGCTCAGAGGAAGCACTTAATTAATAATTGTTCAATGAATGAATGAGTGGTAATAGCTAATGTTTATTAAGCAGTTACTATAGGCCAGACATAGTTCTAAGTGCTTCCTGTTTATTATACTCACTTGATGGCTATGATAAGCCCAAACTAATATCAGCCCCATTTCACAAATGGTAACTTGCCCATGTTCTGACGAGGTGTCAGGGCAGAACTGGATCTTACCAGGTAGCGTGATTCTATAGCCTAAGCCTTCGCCACTACACTGGTGTGGTCCTTGGACCAGCAGCACAGCAGCTGTCCCCTGGGAACTTGTTAGAAATGTTCATTATTCTTCTCCCCACCCCAAACCCCTTGAACCTGAAGCTCTGAGGGGGGCCCAGCCACCTGTGTTATAACAAGCCCTCCAGGGGATTCTGGTGTGATCAAATTTGACAATCACTGCCGAACACTCTACTGCTTCTCGGTCCTTGAGCTCTCCATGACTCCGCTTTCTAAGAAAAAGAAGGGGTACTCACATGCATATTCTGGGAAAACGAAGGTGTCCTACTGAATGTCATTTATGTGTGTGTGTGGTTTTGTTTGTTTCTGTTTTTGCAATTATTTGAAGGTATAGGCCTTTGGGCAAGTTGTTTAGTATTTCTTTGGATCTCAGTATTGGCACCTATAAAATGGGGAGAAGTGGAGGGGCCACATTAAAAGTACCTGAGGATTTTTAAAATTCCAATGCCAGAGATCCAGCCAGACAAATTAAACTGGACACGTGTGTGTGTGTTTGTGTATGGTGTGTGTGTAGGACCCAGCATTGGTATTTTTTTTAATTTCAAGAAAAACGATTTTAAATATAATAATATAACATGCAATAAACATTAATATTTCAAGAAAAAAAGATTTTAAGTATAATAATATTACCAAAAATGTACTAACATAGTATAATATCAAAAAAGTTGTAGAAAATATAAAAAATCTGCAAATAACAGGATTACTTCTATTACATTCTAAAATATTTTTTTTCTCTGGCTCCATTTTTGTTCATCAGTTTATGTTGTTCATTACATTCCACAAATGCGTGAGATCATGTGATATTTATCTTTCTCCGACTGGCTTATTTTGCTCAGCATAATGCTCTCCAGGTCCATCCATGCTGTTGCAAATGGTAAGAGTTCCTTCTTTTTTACAGCTGTGTAGTATTCCATTGTGTAGATGTACCACAGTTTTTAATCCACTCATCTGCTGATGGGCACTTAGGCTGTTTCCAGATCTTAGCAATGGTGAATTGTGCTGCTATGAACATAGAGGTGCACATGTCCTTTCTGATTGGTGTTTCTGATTTCTTGGGATATATTCCTAGAAGTGGGATTACGGGGTCAAATGGGAGTTCCATTTTTAATTTTTTGAGGAAACTCCATACTGTTCTCCACAGTGGCTGCACCAGTCTGCATTCCCACCAGCAAGCAGTGCATGGGGGTTCCTTTTTCTCCACATCCTCGCCAGCACTTGTCTTTGATTTGTTGATGATAGCCATTCTGACAGGTGTGAGTTGGTACCTCATTGTCATTTTGATTTGCATGTCTCGGATGATTAGTGACTTTGAGCATGTTTTCATATGTCTGTTGGCCCTCTGTATTACCACTTTCGAAAAGTGTCTGTTTAGGTCCTTTGCCCATTTTTTTATTGGATTGTTTATCTTCCTTTTGTTAACTTGTATGAGTTTCCTGTAAATTTTGGAGATTAAATCCTTATCGGAGATAACATTGGCAAATGTGTTCTCCCATGCAGTGGGCTTTTTTTTTGTTTTGTTGATGGTTTCTTTTGCTGTGCAGAAGGTTTTTATTTTGATGTAGTCCCCTTTGTTTATTTTCTCCTTAGTTTCCATTGACATAGAAGCTGTATCAGTAAAGATATTGCTACGACAAAAAAAAGAAAGATATTGCTACGACATATGTCTGATATTTTGCTGCCTTTGGATTCTTCTAAGATTTTTATGATTTCCCGTCTTACGTTTAAGTCCTTTAGTCATTTTGAGTTTGTTTTGTGTCTGGTGTAAGTTGGTGGTCTAGTTTCATTTTTTGCATGTATCTGTCCAATTTTCCCAGCACCATTTATTGAAGAGACTGTCTTGACTCCATTGTGTGCTCTTGCCTTGTTTGTCAAATATTAATTGAGCATAGTAGTTTGGGTTGATTTCTGGGTTCTCTATTCTGTTCCATTGGTCTATATGTCTGTTCTTGTGCCAGTACCAGGCAGTTTTGAGAACAGTGGCTTTGTAATACAGCTTGATATCTGGTATTGTGATCCCTCCTACTTTGTTCTTCTTTCTCAGGATGGCTGCAGCTATTCGGGGTCTGTTTTTATTCCATATGAATTTTTGGAGAGTTCTAGGTCTGTGAAATATTCCCTTGGTATTTTAATGAGGATTGCATTGAATCTTTAGATTGCTTTGGTTAGTATGGACATTTTAATGATGTTGATTCTACCAATCCATGAACACGGTATAGTCTTTCATTTGTTTGTCTTCCTCTATCTCTTTTTACAACCTCCTGTAGTTTTCCAAGTACAAGTCTTTTACCTCCTTAGTTAATTTATTCCTAGGTATCTTATTATTATTATTATTATTTTTTTTGTGTGTGTGTGTGTGTGTGTGCAATGGTAAATGGGGTTGTTTTTGTTTTTGTTTTTGGTTTATCTTTCTGTGAATTCATTACTAGTGT